AAAGCTCGGGCCTCTGTTCGGCCGCAGTCGCAAGCCGGAAAATGTACAAACAATAAGCTGGAAGAGGAAGATGGAAAAGGTATTAGAAGGGGTCAGGGGCATAGGTGTACATGAAGAGGGTTATCTAAAATATCTTTTGTCTGTATACACTTTCAGTAATGACAATCATAATAGTAATCATATGTCAATAAATATTATAAAGTTGCACGCCTGTGTTTGTATGGAGAAACTCGCGCAATCGTCCCTCCGTTTATAATTTATATTCGTAAACTTATCGAGTACGTGTGTAATATGTCTGAGTCTCCGTTTGTTTGCCAGTGTGTGAACTTGATTTATTCCTCGATCAAATTTTTTTGTCTGTCATATATATAATATATGTATTCGCTATAACGAGTCGTTTAAGGTAGTGATACAATCATATGTTATATGTACACGTGCGTACATTATTCACGTCGTTTCCCGGACTCGAGTGGTTTATTTATTTTTTTACAATATATAATCTTAAGAAGCGCGCTCGCATTCATACATACACATACACATTATAATCAGTACGTTTGATCGATTTTCATCTCTATCTGTCTCTCGTGTTCGAGTAAATTTTCGTTATTTTTATTTTTTGTGATAGCAATGAGAAAATGCATGCATGAATCATGAGGGCGTTCGCGCGATACGTGCGCACGCGTGTCTGTGACTTTTCCAATGGATTTGTTTGACTCCAGTCTATAATTGACAGTAGTTCGGTCTCTTTATTCCAAGAGATTTGCACTGCTTAATTATAAAATATTACAGCTTTAAACATAATAAATGGCACAGTGTGAAATTCTGGTCTTTTTTTACAAACTACTCGTTTACGACGAAGTGAGAAAAAAAAATAAACTTTACAGAATCAAAAGCTCTGAACGCGTTTTAGTTTTTGCCGATTGGCTTTTGTTGAAAAACAGGAGAGAGAGAAAAGCAAAATGGAAAACTGATCCGCGATATGCACACCACTTGCGCGCATCCGCATATATCATAATTCTACATCATAACAAAACGAACGATGACCGTGAAAAATGTACATAACGAAATAGTCGCGTGCCTATTGTGTGCCTGTATAGCAAAAGTAAAGTATATCTGTTGCTGCTGATATTGCACGCCCGCGAACGTATCCAAAGACGAAGAAATGTAAAAAAGAAAAAAAAAGACTCAAACGCGGCGAATTATCGGAGATATACATATATACACGAGCCATGCGTGCTTGAAAACGAGCTTACGATATGTGTGTTTCAAGCACAGATCAAAAAAAGTAAAATAAACATGTACATAAATAAGGGGATAAAGTGCGAGAGCTAACACACATAGACTCCTTTTAATCGAAAAAAAGCGCAGAGAGAGAGAAAGAGAGAAACGAAGGCGCGTGTAGTATGTGTGTGCAGTCGGACTTATACAGAAGCCGAATGATTGAGCTCAATTCCCAATCGAGTGGTATATAGCCAGAGCAAACCAGCTCTGCTCGCGCGCACAAAACGTCCTTTACTTTCTATCAAAGAATCGAGAACGAACGAGTCGATAATATTTTTCTTTTTTTTTTCAACTTCTCTGCGTTTTTTCTTCTCATTATTTTACGTAACCGCGACGACTAAACACGCGGCGTTATTATTGCCCGAATTATTTGTTGTTTCATTTTTCGTTGACAAAATTAATGATTAACGACGGACCGAAGCGTTTAATACCGCGTGTGTACAGTGAGTCATATTGCACGCGCGTTAATGAGGGCGTAGGCAACTAAAAACGTGCCACTATTACATTTGCGAGCGCACACACAGACACGCAACCTTGCGAGAGTCTTTCAGACACGCGCGCACAAATCGCCCATCGCGATATTATGTCGTATATGAATGTATATCGTATCATATAATATATATAATAGGTACATGAGATATGGCTCGAGAGGACGAGACGATAATGCCGAGGGAAAGACGTTGGCGATTTCAAAGGGGAGGGAGGGAGGGAGTGAGGGGGGTTTCAAGCGCAGCATGGGCGCACAATTTTCGTATACCATACGCACTCGCATCTTTTTCTTTCCATACATAAGATAAGAGAGATAATATAAGATCGTGTTTTAAGCTGCTCGCAGATGGAATGACGCCATCCGGTTCGCTCCTATTACACTGACATTTTCTCAAATTATAATTATGCATACCTTTTTTTTCATCCTTTTTTTTTTCATTCTACTTTTTTCGTCACTTGCATTTGCTTTTAATACGAATTATGCATTTTGTTTTAGTGGACTTGGTGTATGTTTATTATAATTATCATTAAATCTGTTTTGCGTCATATTTAAGCGAAGGAGAGGTAAAAGAGAGATTTTTTCTGCCTTTTAATAAGGTGCTCCCTACGAAATCTATACGACGGGAGGCTCACACGCATTATTGCACCGTAATTTGTATACTTTTTTAATCTTATTTTGTTTTTTGTATTTATTCATCTTCTCCTTGTCTCGTTTGTCATTTAATCATATTTTACTTACTATGTAATAGTGCTTTTTGTATTTTTTTATTCATTTTTTTAATTTTATTTTTTTGTCGATAGTTACTACTATAATATCATTTTGTTTCTCACTTCTTTTCATTTACCGAACAATGATAATACCTCAACCAATATATATATTTATTTCTCTCGCTCGCGAGGCAACAAAATTTTTCAGAATTTTTGCTTTTGTTGTTTACACGCGCACACACGTTCTCTGTGATTCTCTCTCTCTCTCTCTTTTCTGGCATACGCACGCAACCGCCACACGAAGCGCAGTTAAAATTTGTTTGCTATTCTTCTATTTTTTTCTCTTTCTCTCTCTCTTTTAGTGCTGCCTCGTGTAAATTTATTTGTCTATTATTATTGCCAACGCAAATCAGGCTTAAAACGAAAAAAGGAAGAAGAAAAAAAAGAAGTGCAAACGTATACGTATGACCACACGCGTGTGTTATTATACCTCGACACAATTTGTATAGCACACACACACGCGCGAGCAGAGAAACGAGCATCACACGCGTTTATAGATTCTTATACAGATATATAAAACAGAATAGATACTGCTTCTTTTTTCTCGCTCTCCATCTCTCTCCGCCGGACATACAAGTGTGAGTGTCTCTATGCATGTCCGTGTGTGTATGTGTGAAAATAGAGATAGAGATAGAGGAAAAAGGAGAAAGAGAGAGAGAGAGAGAAACAGACACGATCGATAGCGCGACGTACAGAAGTTGTTGGCAAAAGAACACGCGCACGCGATATATACGTACACTACACATATTCGCTCGGGATATTTATATGTATTATATCAATCTGTATTACGATGCCATAACACTACTGCTTTTCTCATTATTATTTGTGTTACACTCGTCGCTCTTTTTTCATTTCTTTCCTCTCTTTTTTCCCTTCCTTTTTTGCTGCCTCTTCTCCTTTTCTCGTATTTTCCTTCTTTCCTTTGCAATGATATCTCTCTACGTTCAACTAACGTGTACATAATGTCCGAGAGGAGTACCAGCACACGCGTGCGTCCGAAGAGAGATAAAAACACGGGCTCTTTAAATATTTATGTTACACAGAAGTAATGTAAAAAAGAAAAAAATTTGCGCTCGCGAAAGCTCTCCAGTGTGTGCTTGCGACGTTCGACGACCAAGAGAGAGAGAGAGAGAGAGAGAGACAACGAGTATGTGCGTGTATATATGGTAATGTGTACATGCATATATACACAAGCGAGTGTGTGCACATACGTATACGTATACACCATTTTTTCATTTTTTATTTTATATATATATATTATTTTATATTAAAGTATGCGGCTTTGTAAGTGTCGCATTTTTGCAGTCTGCGAAGCATTTTTTGTCGTACGCTTTTTTTCTTTAATAATATAATCGTGGACCCTTTTTAAGTTCATTTTTGTTTTTCATTTTTTTGTAGTTGATTTTTTTTTTGTTCTCTCTTGCAACAGTTTTTCTTCTCTCGAAAGCTCACTTACCTCGCATACTAGTTCTCATTCACACACATATACGGATCGATCGATTAAAATTGCAGTTTTCGCTTTCGCCTTATATTTTGTAAGTGATATATCAACTTCGAGGCATACGAACATTCATGCGTTATAGGTACTACTGTATTTGCTTAATTTGTAAGTTTTTTTTTCTTATCCATTGCACGAATTCAACGAAAGAATGACGGAAAGAAACACGCAATTTTTTTTCAAATTAACACGATTTATGACGGATTGTTTTTATGAAATCACGTGTGTGCGCAACGTTTAATATTCTCTCGCATGTATATATACTCTCGAATGGCGACGATGTGCTTCATTTCTCTTTTTTTTTACTACTGCTACGATGATATTTTGTTATTTTTGTTATCATAGAATTTTTAGGATTATACGCGTTCTTTGCAGAGCAGTTGGCGTTGTTGATAATGATTATAACAATGATGAACAGTCTGTTCGAGCGCCATATAGCGCGAGCTTGCCTCTCGCAATCCCACCTCTTTTTATTTTGTGTTTTGTAAATTTTTGCCTCTCGTTTACAAAAATTGATGTTGCTCGTTATAACACACGGCTGTACTCGCGTACACACGTTTACACGCAGAATCACGCGCTCGCGCGTGCCGCACATCGCATGCGTCGTTTATTAATTATTTCGCGTTGCTCCGTAAAAATAATACTTTTATGATAAATTGGTATAATATGAGTTGATGAGCGCGTGCGGATGTCGTCGTATAAGTTTAATGGTCTCGCGCGCATCGTTAATGCGCGTCTCCTTTGTTTTTCTCCTCCTCGATCAAAAAGAAAGTCAACGCGAAATATATGTATTGATTCGTTTTTGTTTTGTTTTCTTTTTTGGCAGGCTCACACACGCACGCGCGACAGCGTGTACTATTAATTAAGCAGCCCCACACACACACACATACACAAATATGCGTACGCACACACTCGGGTAAGTATTATTATTATGTTATAAATAAAAAAAGTATGTTTTATAAATTTGTTCAGAATTACATGGAACTTTATATTATGTATTATTTATATATAATTATGTATATTGTTCATTATTACAATATCTGCATAAACATAATTCGGCACACTTTTTCATTCGCTTCTTTTTGGACAATAATTAATAATAATATTAATAACTTTTAGTATGATCCTCGACGGTTCTCGATAGATATAAGATGAGGTTTTTTTTTATGAAAAAAAAACTCTAGGGCATATTTGCTTTTGTTTTGTTTTGCGGTTCCTTATGTATCTTACTTTTATTCTTCACTCACTCTTTCTTGAAATGAAATTGAAGAAAAATTATAAACATTCGCATTTTCTTCCACTTAAAACGTAGAGATGTGTTTGAAGCATGTGCATTTTAAATTAGTCACAATTTGGACCATCATCTTCGATTGATAATACGATTTTTCTCTCGTTTATATTATTGTGAAACTTTTAATGTCTTTTGTTCAGTAAAATAAGCGAGTCCACAATTTCAGCAACAAGAAAATATCTAAGAGTTTGTAGAGGAATATTTTATTCTCACATATTTTCACTCACAGCACCATTCTTGTTCCACACTTAATCTTGGGAAGGGTAGAGCTTCTTTTACCTACATAGGATTTTATCTTGTTTTACAAGAACATAATATACAGTATTATGGCAGAACATGACAACCCAGGAGAACTTATACGGATAGGTATGTAACTCCTTTGTCTGTCTGATGAATGATTGATCATTCAGGGTCAGGTAGTATGGGGTTGTGAATTGAATTTTAGTATATTCTGTGTCACAAACAAAACTTTCCTGAGTATCTTGAACTTTGATTCTTCAATGAATACTTTGCTGATTTCTTTTGTGAATTTAACATTTTTCATTTTCATATACTTTTTATCCACCAGCTACTTTGGAGCAAACCCTTCAAAATTCAGCAAATTCCTTTGCGCATTTCTCAGTTGATGAAATTCTCAGTGCTTCTTCTTCGTAATCATCAAAGTTACTTGTATCTCCTGGACCTTTACATCTAGGTATAAAGGGTGCTTCGATACGCTTCTGGAAGACAGCTATCCAGTCAGTGCTGGCAAACCACTTGTGTCCTTTAATATCATTGACACCAGCTTTTAGATTGCCAAATCGTTTAGTTAAATCGACTTGCAGCAAACTACGTAGAAGGTCTTTCAATTCAGAACCAAAGTGGGATGGAAATCTCACTTTTCCACTGACAATTTTTTCATAAATCTGTATAGGTTGATCAGCGAAGAACGGTGGATAACCAGCTGCCATTTCATACACTAGCACTCCAAGTGCCCACCAATCTACAGCTTTGTTATAACCTTTGCTGAGAATAATTTCAGGGGCTAGATACTCTGGTGTACCGCATAGGGTCCACGTTCTACCCTTGACTCTCTTAGCGAAGCCAAAATCTGTGACCTTGAGATAACCTTGCGAATCTATCAGCAGATTTTCAGGCTTGAGATCTCTGTAAATAAGATCTAAGTAATGGAGATACTCAAAGGCCAGCACAATCTGAGCAGCATAGAACCTGGAGTGTGGCTCTGAGAAGCGCCCAACTTTCCTGAGATGGCTGAACATTTCACCTCCAGGAACGTACTCGAGCACCATGTAGAGATTAGAATTATCCTTAAAGTGAAAACGAAGCGAGACGAGGAAAGGAAAATTGATGGCTTGAAGAATGCGTTTTTCGTTGAGTGTGTGCTCGACCTGCTTGAGCTTGACGACTTTCTGCTTGTCGAGTATCTTCATGGCGTAGTACTCCTTGGACGGCTTGTGCTGGACTATCATGACGCGTCCGAAGGAGCCGGTGCCGAGGGTCTTGATGCGCTCGAAGTCGTCGAGGCACGCCGTGTTGGTCGGGTTCTTCTTCCATTTGTCCTCGAACTCCTCCTTGGCCTGCTCGAGGAACTCCTTGACGCTCTCGGCCGCGTCGACCTTTTTGTTGGAGCTCGTTGCATTGTTGCCCATTTTGCCGCTGCCCGAGGTGGAGGCGGCCCCGCTGCTACCTGCTGCTGCTGCTGACGACGACGACGACGAGTTGGAGCCGCTCGAGCCAGCCAGGGCTCCACGGATGTCGAGTTTTCTCAGAATTGCGCTGGCTTTTTTCGTTAATCGCGCCTGCTGGCGAAAAATGATGCACCTGCACAGCGCGCTGCGGCCTTTTAACTTTTGTCGCACACACTCGATCGGCCACACGCTACACGGGGGTATTTAAATCACTCGGTGGCGGCGAACGCGACGACGACGATGATTTGCAAACTTTTTTCTGCACTCGCACAGTCACTGAATCGAGAAAACGTACAGTATTGTATGTACTGACACACTCGGTCACGAAAGCACGCACACTCGAACACACGAGCGCGGACACTTTGATATATACGTGGGTTGCCTCTGGGAAATTCTGCAAAAGTGGCAGAAAAAAAAAAAAGAGAGAGACGACGTTTATTATAGCAACAAACGCAGCGCGATGTTCTTTTTTCACTGTATCGCGTACTGGCGGGCGCACAGAAATTTTTCCACCGCACACTTTAGGAAAAAAAAAGGCAAAGAAGAGAAGAAGAAACGAAGCTGGAGAATTTTGTGCAGAATATCGAGTGGCTCTCCGGTGTATTTGCAGCGCGTCTCTTCTGTGCTGCTGTCGTCTTCTCGTTGCCCGACACTTTTCCGATTTCTGTATGCGTGAGCGTGTCTATATATCTAAAGTAGTACACAAGCACGGGCACACACGCACCGTCTAGCAGCACACACACACTGTCAATGAATATAAATTGCACAACTCTTGTTCTTCGGTGAAACGTATATTATGCATACGTGGATGTAGAGGTGGTGGTATATTGTGTATCTTTCGCGATGAACAGATGCAGACGACGATACACAAGATATAGAGACGAGCCGAGCCGAGCTGAGCAGCAGCGACTGTACTGCGGCGACTATAACGTACGTATGTCGGTGTGTGTGTGTGTGTGTGGGTTGAGTCGTGCATACAACACACGAGATGATTTACGTAGAAAAACTTGCAGCTATAAGGTTTTCACGTTGCGCTCGGCACTCGTCGTGCTCTTTTTTTCAATGACGCCGAGAATAGACCGTAAAACAGTCGGTGCTCATCGTACTGCTGGCGAGATCGAACTCGATCATCGAAGTCATCATCATTAGCGTCGTCGCGTTGGTTGTCGTCGCCTGTTTAGCAGTAGCGAGATCAGCAGTCGTCGTCGCAGCCATCGTTGAAATCATATTATCGCAGAGTCGTAGTCAACATCCGTATATAACTTTGCTTGTACGAGTGGGTGTGTGTGTGTGTGTGTTTGTATTATATGTACAGCCGCAGCAGCAGGAAAATTGATTTCACGGAGCACAATACACGCTCACACACAATCACTGACTCTCTGTGCGAATTTCGCACTCTCCACAGAATTATACACACAGCGTGTGTGTCCGTGTATAATACGTGCTCTGTCTGTGTGTGACAGAACAGAACCAACAGCAGTAGCAGCAGCAGCAGCAGCAGCAGCAGTGCGAAACTTCCTCTGCTACTGGTTAAGATGGCGGCCTCCGCGAAAATATATCTATATCGTGCTTTATGCTGCACTCTATACAGATATACCGACTACAACACGTGTGTGTATTCGTGTGTGCGAGACTCAGTAGTTTCTATACACATCTCTCGTACACACACACACGCGCGCGCATTTGTGTATATTTCGATTGTGTGTTTACTCACACAGATTCACTTTTGCACCACGCGCGCGCACACATGCACACACTTGCACTTTTTTATCCGCTGGCCGTGCGTAAACCATAGAAAACACGGAGAGCACCGTGTCTTGTGTGTATTTAAAAATACAATATAAACGACGATGACCTTATTACTTTTCTTTGGGAGTCTGTGGCTGCTCTACTACACATCAGACACAAACTATGTGTGTACGTCAGTCGTCGACAGGCTTTACAACACTTGCCTATATGCCCATGTATTACACAGACACACACCGACGCGCACGTATTCTTCTTCTTCTCTCTTTTCGCGTATGTACATATACACAGAACTGCCCTTCGGTATATAGGTATTTAACACAGTGTTGTAGAGAGCGAAACTCGTGTATATATCACGTCTCGGTGTGTACGCTGTGTCTGTTTAAAGCGAGAGATGTCGAGTCGAGCCGATGCAAACGTACACAGCCCCAAGCACGGATTGTCCCTTATTATTATTTAATAAATATATATATGTAATGTAACCGCAAAGAGAGAGAGAGAGCCACGCACTCCGACGTTCGATAGCCGTCGAGTCGTCTACTACACTCGCTGCTCGCACTCAGCTCACTAGCAGCAACAGCGGAGCAGCAGCAGCAGCAGCAGCAGAGAGCAGTAGGCCGCGCGCGAGGCTAGAGCTCCGCTGCCTCTTCTTGTGTTATATATATATATATATCGATGTTGTTGTACGCTAAAGCTCCGCGAGCGCAAGTCAGCATCTACTGTCCATGTGTATGTGTGTGCGAGCGAGCGATATTTTCGACACACACTGATACATACGCGAATCGAGGAACGTCGTCGTCGTCGCGGCTAAATACATGCCTACATCGTCGTCATCGAGTACCCGTGTGTAAGTATATATACATACGAACGCGCGCATGTGCTATATAGCGACGCCTCGCGCTTATGAATGTGTGTATTATTATACAGTTGATATATATAATAGAGGAGCGCGCGCGCAAGAGAGAGAGGAGTGACGTGAAAACGACTCACTCACACACGCGTACGTAACGCACGATGGTATACAACCCGCCTCACTCCGTAGTCTTGTAGTCTGTACTCTGTATTATGTTATGAATACACACACACACACACACACACAAGTAGCACATATATATACACTTGTCGAATACGAGCGGCGCGCGCGCTCACGAGTCCAAACTCCGACGAGTAGCTGCTGCTGCTGCCGTCTCGGCACTCGTCGATTATGCTGCTGTTGAGTATTGTTTTGTGCGAGCTTGTATACACCGTCGGAGCTCTGGCCTACACATCCTATACATTTATATAGCTACTCGTAGTAAGCATACTATACGTCGAGCCCTCGAATGGAAATCGTGTTCGGCTGTCTGCGTGAAATACTCCTCTGGATCGGGTAAACTCTATGGACTTTTCGAAAATCGCATAAAGTGCACCGTTGTGCATTTCCATGCAAATTAATCCATGTCAAACGCGTAAAAGCTCCAGACATGCAGACTGAAATTGAAATAAGGTTTCTACGGAACAATTTCGTAACGAGAACTACACTTACTCGAGTATTTTTCCGCTGCGTTGCTCCGAAAATACCTGCCCCCGCACCTTCAACCCTGGAAAAATCTCATCGGAACTTCTATGGAGCTTTTTACCTCTACCCTGTGTGCTTTCGTATCCCCGTAAGGTGAATGTGCTCATAATGTAGCACCTTACATGATGAATGATGCCTAATGAAAATCTCATTAAACTCGCAATGATAATTTTAGCATTGAGTGACGGCGATCCAACTTTTTTCCATAGCAATTCATTACTTTTTTTTATGTAAATAAATCATCGTTACGATCGAGTTATAACTTTATATTTCAAATCCGGTGCGCGATGCGATGATAAAAGAAAAAAATATCAGTTGATTCGTTACCGAACGACGAGAACTGTTTGACATCGAAAGCTCGCGTATACCGACTGCGGAAAAGATAACCGCACGCTCGAGCTTTATTATGCTCGCGAGAGAATCGTGAAAAATCAAGTGTCAAAAACATTACTTTGTATAAACATCTGCTGGTCATCGTTGCTGGCAATTGGCGCAAAAGAGAGATGGAAATGCAAGAAATCAGAATGAAAACAAAAGAGGTTTAAATTGTTCGTTAGACAATTGGCTCTGCGGTAATCAGACAAAAGAAGACGAAAAAGCTCTAGAAAGCGATTTCGAGCAAGATTTTCGTACTTATTGAAATCGAATAATTTTTTCACTATTATGGAAGCTTCGACGTTTCATAAATAATTGACCATAAATTGCAGAAGCTTGAAAATGTAAAATGATGAAATGGCAATGTATGTGCATAGCCCCCCGATCGCTGAGTTATTTGCTGAGTTATTTGTTTTTGTCCGCGAGCTTTGTGTCAATGATGACATTTCCATTCAGAGTCCCGATTGCGCCGCCAGAGGTCGCTCTCGTACAGTCGCACACTTGCACCGACGACACTACGACTGTAGAGCGTGTAGTCTCTATTATCTATATTATGTGTATTCACGCAGCAACGGCAGCAGTCAGCCGTAGTATCGCGAGAATCGTAGTGTCTCACGAGTCTCATTGTTTGCTATAGTGGCGGAGTATAAACAGGCGAAGCAGTCGAGCTTTTGTTCGTAAATTAAGACGAGCTCGTTCGCGTTGTGCACATCCTCGACGATGAAAATCGGCACGAATCAATTCGAGAGCATCTGTTAAGTATCCGTCGACGAGTGTCATTTCTCGCCTATCTACTTCTAGATGCAATAGTACTATGATAGTGCCGAGTAGCGTCGAGTGCAACGTCAAAGATGTCGATCGACCCCTCGGATCACGTAAACGTCTTGGTCTCAACGAGCGTCAACAGCAACAACGACAACAATCAGGGCGCAGATGACAGCGACGATGACATACTGCCCATCTCTTCGTGCGCCCAACGCATCAGTCCCAGTGAGGCTCAACGGGGCGGTGCTGCTGCTGCTGCTGACTCCTTCGGAAATTCCGAGATCGCGAGCAACGTAACTCGACGAAATACTCCGTCTTTGTATTCCAGCAGCAGAGCCAGCGTGAGTTAATTTTAATATAATAATATAAAAATGCGTACGGCACATGAGCTGAAGCATGACACATGCTCTCTCCCATGAAATGATAACGCTGTCTCGACTGTCATTACGCATAACTGCGCATGTTATCGCTTGCATAGTATTTTCTGTGATAGTCGAAGCGGCACATGAAAGTCATACTGACGTATTGTTTTCATTCCAGCATTCCAACAATACCGAAAGCCGTGCGACCTTTGGACATGACACGGAAAGTGCCTCCACCAGGCACAACGTGCGATTCTACTCCGAGGACCAAGTGTCGCCCGGATCGACCAATTTTCTCTCTAGCAGATACGAGGTATGACGAATCGACTCTTTACCCATTGAGCACCAGTTAACAAATCAATAATAATGAATCTATATTATTTTTCATTATGATTATTAATGGGGTTTATGATTTTTCAGAGTTTAGATTATGATATCTATGAAAACCATTTATTGCAAGATGAAGAGAGACACAAAGGATACAAGTACGTCGTTAAGAAGAATATTGCAAGATGGTTTATTTTCCTATTGATAGGCATTTGCACTGCTATCATTGCGTGCCTCATAGATATTTCAATTGAATTAATTTCCAAATGGAAGTATGGATCTCTGAGAGACTGTATCCTTTTACCACATATTGATGAAATTATGTAACAACATTAACTCAACTTATTTTCTTAACTATACATTTATCGTAGTCGTTGATAATTGCATTGCCAGAGATGATAACAGCACTTGCTTATGGATTCCATATTTGATGTGGATGTTTTACAATATTGTTCCTGTATTTATTGGTTCAATGTTGGTTACTTTCATTGAACCTATAGCAGCTGGAAGTGGAATTCCTCAAGTTAAATGTTATTTAAATGGCATTAAAATCCCAAGAGTTGTTAGGATCAAAACTTTATTTGTTAAATGTATTGGAGTTGTTACATCTGTTGTTGGTGGACTTGCTGCAGGAAAGGTAAAATACTTTGAAGAGCTTATCAAATCTATTTTTGCATTTCAAAATTACTTAATTAATGTAAATTTTCTCCAGGAAGGACCAATGATACATGCTGGGGCTGTAGTTGCAGCTGGATTATCCCAAGGAAAAAGCACAACTTTTAAAAAAGATTTAAATATTTTTCGATACTTCAGAGAAGATCATGAAAAAAGAGATTTTGTATCTGGAGGAGCTGCTTCTGGTGTTTCTGCAGCTTTTGGTGCTCCAATAGGAGGTGTTTTATTTAGTATTGAAGAGGGTACGAGCTTTTTTAACCAAAGTTTGACATGGAGAACATTCTTTGCTAGCATGATCTCAACATTTACACTGAACATAATTTTAAGTGCTTATCATGGGCACCCAGGAGATTTATCTTTCTCTGGCCTTTTGAATTTAGGAAAATTTGAAAGCATCTCTTATCAGATATATGAAATTCCTTTGTTTATAATGATGGGCACTATTGGAGGTTTATTAGGTGCCTTATGGAATCACATAAATTACAAAATTACATCATTTCGCATGAAATATGTTAGAAATAAATGGGTTAAAGTTTTTGAAGCTGTATGCGTTGCAATAATGAGTGCCACAATGGGTTATATGATGATATTCTACATAGATGATTGTAAAACAATAGGTAGAGATCCAACTGAAAATCCTGTTAAAATGTATTGCAATGATAATGAATACAGTGCTGTGGCTGCTTTATGGTTTCAAACACCCGAAAGGAGTGTTCGTTCTTTATTTCATGATCCTGTAGGATCACATAAAGATATAACTTTGGCAGTCTTTGTTGTATTTTATTTCATACTTGCTGCTTTTACTTTTGGATTATCTGTATCTGGGGGATTATTTATTCCTTCGTTACTCATTGGAGCGGCTTGGGGCAGACTCGTTGGCTCTGGATTAGCAAAACTATTTCCTGGATATGTAAGTATAATTTGTAGAATAAAAAAAAAGTAATTATGCTAATCATAAAATTTCATTCATAAATTTTCAGACTTTTGTCAACTCAGGCAAATATGCTCTCCTCGGTGCTGCTGGTCAGTTGGGAGGAGTTGTCAGAATGACAATAAGTTTGACATGTATACTAATTGAAGCAACCCAAGGTATATCAATCGGTTTACCAATTATTATTGTTCTTGTTATGGCTAAGTGGGTGGGAGACTTTTTCAATGAGGTAATAATGAATGATTCATTCAGTATATTGAAAGATAATTTATAAATTATTAAAATAAATTATAAATTTCTTCAAATTTAATTGCAGGGTATTTATGATATTCACATACAAATGGGAGGAATACCTCTCTTACCATGGGAAGCTCCTCCACTATCAAACAATATTTATGCAAGTGATATAATGAGTCAACCAGTAGTAACGGTCAAAACAACTGAAAATGTCGGCCATATAGTAGAAATGTTGAAATGTGTGTCATTTAATGGTTTTCCCGTTGTAGATCCTCCAAGCAGCGACGGGGTACGTAATTAGCTATTGTTTTTAATCAATGAAACCAAACCAGAGTTCTTTATCACTGATAATTTATTTCTCCACTTTATAGAGTGAAATAAACTGTTACGGACGACTGCGCGGAATGATACTTCGTTCGCAGTTAATCGTGCTGTTGCAAAATAAGATATTCAATAGGTACCATGAGAGATGGGGCAGAACTTTGAGCATCGAAATGTTCAGAAGCGAATATCCTAGATACCCGACGATAGATAAAGTTAGCGTAACCGAAGAAGAAAAGACGGACGACATAGACTTGAGGCCTTTCATGAATCCCTCACCTTATACTCTTAAGCACGTGAGTAACTGAACTATTTCTTGAAAAATAGTCTCAAATTTTTTTTACGTTGGTTCAAGATGTTGATATTTTTTAGTCTGCAACACTACCACGAGCATTCCGATTATTAAGAGCTCTCGGCCTACGGCATTTACCGGTCGTGAACGATCTCAACGAGGTCGTGGGAATGATCACGCGCAAGGATGTAGCCAGGTATCGCATTTGGAAGCATCAAGGACGCATGGGCCTCGACGAGCTGTCGATTACAAATAAAATTTGAAAAGAGACATGTATTTTTTTACTTTTCCAAGATAGTGCACGTACACGTACACAATTTATTACTCGACTGTAATTGAGAAAATGTTATAAAATGCAAAAACACAAGCATATTTTTTTGTAAAAAAAATCTTGAATATTTATTTATTGATGTACACATGAAATATATATTGTTATATATTGTCGTAATTGTGTAGTTTTAATTATTAATAAACAATTGCCAACCGAGCCAAGACCAAAGTCGAAAGAACAGGTAGACTGGTATTAACAGTAAAACGAGCAGCAGATAATATTCGTGGACCGATACGTACATCGTCATGGTTCACGATCAACTGAACAACATCTGCAAAAAAAGTTGGAAAAATATGAATTTCGAATCATACTTTGAAGTGCATATAATTATAAAAAAATAACATCGATTCGTCAAGCCGGCTTTGGACAATTCCGAAACTGAAATTACTCAGCTCGATGTGTCATCTCATTGATAATTTCGAAGTGACCGAAATTTATCGTACTCTTTTCGAAAAAAATGTTTGATCGTTAGACGATAAAGATACGTGCCGGAAGTAACGAAAAGATGAGGATCTAATGATTCAAAAAATGTTCTGATAAGAAAAAATTCAAACAGCGATTGGGTCGATTAAAATAATCTTTAAAATGAATGGAAGCGATTATTAAAAGGAGTTTAGGTAGTAAAAATATAAACGAAAGTCACATAGGTGGTCTGATGAATATTTAAAATGAAGAAAGTTTGAATCGTTCCAATCTTCCCTCCCCTATCTAGGACTATCTTGACGTCATAAATATTCAGGAGATCTTTTCCTGAATATTTATGACGTCAATTTATTACCCTCGATGACATAGACAGCTGTCATATAAAACAAAAAAAAAACAAACATACGACGATCGAGCTCCGAATTGCCGCGCAGTCAAGCGAATGAGTTGAAAATTAGGCAAACAATAGAAAGATAACAGGTATTATAAAACTTCACTTACAACTCGACAGTTTTGTTTTGATCTACTGGCGTCTAAGTGGGCGTCTATCGTGCCTGTGTGGCGTCAACTGTCAAAGCAAGAAATCATATAAACAAAAGATAAAGATAACCCGACGACAATAGCCCGCGAGACATAACCTGAAATATTGCGAGCCGACGGGTGCGGCCTCGGAAGCATGCATGCAAGCGGCGATCAATGGTGGCATCGCGTATGGAATTTTGGAATGCGAGTCGACCAAATTGAAAGCATGTCGCCAGAGATGGCGCATAGTGCAATGGAGCGGCGCGCGACATTCAGTTGGCCCGATATTCCGAGACCGTGAAAAATAAAGAGTAAGAAAATCGGAGTCTTGTCGGTCTCGTCGAGTTGTGCATGTGTGAGGCATAGCAGAATGCGTGCACCGCTTTCGATTATATATAGGCGTTCAAGGGTTCTCGCGTCGAGTCGCAGTGCATATACAAAACAAAAGATTCGTAACTGCCGAAATTCGAACGTATCCCGTAGATTTTCGTTTCCTTCCTCTCGAACATTCACCTCATTTCTCTGGTATTTCGCATTAGATTCTCAGTTGGTGCTCGAACGCGACTCAACGACAATAGCGACAACGAAAAGAAAACCACTCGAAGACTGCTGAGATGGACGAGTCGGAGAATCGCTACCTCAGAATGGGCTTCAAAAAACTCGACGAGCTCCTCGTGGCCAGCTACTACAGGCCCTACGAGGCGAAGAGCATCTCGGAGTCGCGCAGTTCGCGTCTGCGGGCCCGTCGGCTCTACCACAGCGAGGAGCACAACGCCGACATGCACGTGGAGATGCTGCGGCTGCTGTCGTGCGCCGTCTGCCAGGCCCCCAGCGAGAGCGAAGAACTGACGCTGGCCTACCGCGACCGCTCGATCTTGTTGATGCATCTGCAGCGCTACAAGGAGGCGTTCATGGATCTCGACAAGTTGATGGATTTGCCGCTGAGCGACGAGGACGGCGCGTTGACAATCTGCCGAAAGGTATACATTATCATCGTCGTATCAATGATGGACGAATAATAGACGTCGGATCGATATCGAGCGCTGCTTTAGGTCGAGTGCGAAGCCGAGCTCGGCTTGTGGACGGCCCGAGTCACCTGCCAAGGAATGCAGTATCTGTTCGCTACGAATGACCTGGACGAGCGCATCACCTACCAGATTCAGGCGAGGTTGGCTCTGGCCCTGGTGAAACTTCGCAGCGGTCGGATCCGTGGCTCGGACCGGGACAAGGCCAAAGTCGATCTACCGAACCCGGACAAAATCACGAAGCACCAATCGGACGAGATCCCGAACGCCAGCAGCTGTCGCGTCAATCACAATCCCGCGGCGGGCAGCTATCGCTACGGTCGACACCTCGTGACGACGCGCAACGTCCTGCCCGGTGACATTTTTTACTGCGGTCAGGCCTACGTCGTCTTGCCCTCGGAGGCGGCCCAGCATCTCAACTGCTGGCACTGTCTGCGCTTCGCCTGGCACGGGGTGCCCTGCGATCACTGCTCCCAGGTCATCTATTGCACCTACGAGTGTCGCGAGTCCGCCTGGCAGCTATTTCATCGCTTCGAGTGCCCGATCGTCGGCAGAACCGTTAGATTCATCGATTTGGCGAGAACGAGCAAGCTCATGGCTCTGAGGATGCTGATCAAGGCCATGCTCGAGGTCGACGGCCAATTGGAGACGCTCAAGAAGCATTGCAGAGAGATCGACAAGCAACGAGGTAATTCGATTTCGAGCTAATTTTTCATCGATCGCATCTTTACGTAAAATCTTTTACACGCAGATCGTCGCACGCGCGGATTCACCGACGGTATGTTTCTGCCCAATCATCGGAGTTGCTACAGCCTGCTCGCCAACGTCGAAGGCCGCGACGACGAGGTGCGCGAAGCCATCGCAACCGAGACCGCCGCGATCCTCTACCACATCGCCAAGTACACCAATCTGTTTCCCGGCTTCGAGGCTGACATCAAGAAGCTGCAGCTCAACGAGGACGCCATGTTCGTGGCGAGGCTGCTGTCGCACTTTCAGCACGTCGTCAAGACCAACGCGACGATGGTTCTGATTTTTCTCGCTCTTGTATTATCTCCCGCGATAACTGTAAAGTAAAACTGGCTGATTTATTTACGTTCAGTACACGGAGACCAAATTTGCCTCGACGTACAGCTGGGAATGGCAGAACAACGGCGACGAGGCCGACAGTACAGCTACCTACCTCGACCCGGCTATGAGCTTGATCAATCACAGCTGCTTTCCTAATGTCGCCAGGTGCGAGACCAAAGATGGAAAAAATATTCTTTACGCTCTTCGACCGATCGCCGAGGGTGAACAGGTAACAAACAAAACAGGGAAATTTGCCTACTCGCGTGTCTTCTATGCATTTAATTGTACAAGTTAAATCTATCGTTAAGCTGTTCGAGTGTTACGGACCAACCTATAGCGAATGCGAGAAAAAGTACCGAGACAATCTACTCTCACAGTCGAACTTCACCTGTCGTTGCATCGCTTGCGAGGACGACTGGCCCATTTACGCTTACATGCAACATTACGGAATGGTAATCAACGCAAATTCAATCGGGTAAAAATTTGAAAGTCTAATGAATCGAACACTCGATCGTCGCATGCGCAGAGTTACTCGACAAAGTCGCCCGCAGAAATGAGCGCAACGGAGAACGCCATGAAGCTGGTAGATCGTTACTACGACGATCTCAAAGAGGACGAATTTGCGCACGATCCCAGGGCACTGAACGACATCGCTTACGCAATCTATCTCGTGATCATGTTTACGGAGCTGCCCAATTGGCGTCTCGAGTATCTCATGGCCACTTTCATTACGGCTTTCGATGAGCTTTACAGCTACGTGTTGGAGGTACCGAACACGTGCCACTTGTCGGACATCAAACCGCGGATCAAGTTTATCCCGAGCGACGACGAAGAAGAAGAAGAAGAAGAAGCAGACATAGAAGACTGATCGTTCGTTTTATTGTTTTTATTTTTTCTTTACTTTATAGTGTACAGAAGTAACGACGAATAAATTGGTGCAGCGACATGCGAAAGTAAAAACTTGCCTGAATTATCGATGTTAGCCGTAAATACATTTGTCACACGCGGCTCGCCGCATCGTGCATGGTACAAAATCATGCGCGTAAACTGCCTATAACATACGTGTGCACGTACAATATAGAGCTCATATTTTACATACTACAGTCTTTCGTCTGTGTGCACGATGAATAATACACAATTAAGTGCAAGCGGTCGCCGTCGCTGCTACTCGCGTGTAATATATTTCTGTACTATAAGTGACCACATTAGAAGCGGAATACATGGAATTGTTCGATCGCGCATAAGCAGTTTTTAGATGTATATCGCCCGCAGAGCGGCGTTGTGCGCGTGTGCGCGTCGCAGTCTATATCCGGACATTCGTTGTTTGACCTTAAAAAATGAAAATTTGTCGCGTCTTTTCTCTCGCCCCACCACCACCCACCTTCGCTTCCTCCTAATGCGACGATGCGACCAATCGGGTAATGACGATGAAAAAAAAAACAGTTTCGATTCTTTGTTGCACAGGACTCGAGCGCGGACATCGCGCTATTGTAGTATAGAGCTCGTGCGCAAAAGTTGTTTTCTTCGAGGCGGGCTAATACAATTTGCAGCAGTGGGTCAGTGCGGATCGTCTTGAAAAACAGACACGTGCAGACTCGTTGCGAAAGTCTCATGAAAAATTTTCTCAAATTCCAAGTCTCTCGAGCGTCGAGTCTCCACAATAGTCACGGAGCTTTTCGGAGCGGCTATTTTTGAAAATCACAACGGCAAATCTCGTGCGTAGTTGTATGCGCGCGCCCACCCACGCGCCGCCGCCGCCGCCGCTCATAGCGTACAACACAATACACACATTACACGGTGCTCGATTTAAACGTTGATTCCGAGAAAATTACTCGGCATTGTTTTTTGTTCTTAATAAATCGCGCGCAGCTTGCATAATACACGTATTTCGCGTGCATCGGCTCGGTAAACAGTGTACGCGCCGTCGCGAGCGCAGCTCGGCTCCTCTAAATGTGTGTATACGCATGTATGTGCAGCAGCAGCTATCGAGCTCTCTACACACGGCTACTGCCTATATAGCGGAGGCTATATACATATGTAGATGTGTATAGGTGTATATATATATATGCACAGTAGGCGAGAGAGATGCACGACGGCGCGCCTCTAAGCTGGCTGGCGCGCGGCAGTCAGTTTCGGTCGCGCGGCAGTCGGCACTCGCCGCGCTTAAAGCTCGCACCCGCCCACACGGGCGATACATACTTTATATATACCGTATCATATATCACACGACTAAGTGGAGAGCTTACGCAGGCCCGCTCGAGCGTCCTAAAAATTTCTACTCATGCACCTACAACGAGCATACGAGTACACTCGAGGCGAATATCAAGTTCGAGAGCTTTTTTTCTGATTTTTCTTTTTTTTTTCTTTTAAATTTTTTCGTATCCATTTGTCGGAGCGGAAACTCATAACTGTCGAGTGACAAGTGCACGAGCGGCGCGCACGTTGAGGCCGCGGTGTCGTTGTAACGCGCGTGCACGGCACGCAATAATCGAAAAAGCAAAAGTGTGCGAGCCTCGTGTGCCGAGTGCGGTGTGCAGTGCTGCGTGCGGACTCTCGCGTGTGCGCCTTCATACAGAGAGCTCCTTTGTACGTGTCGTCCGTCAAGAGAGAGAGAGAGAGCGAGAGCGAGAGAGCATCGCTCGTGGAAAATTGTATATCATGAAATTGTGCGAGAGCCGCGCACCGCTACTGCCTATTGGCTCCTACTACTCGCCACACACTTTATACGTGCCGTATAATAAAGGGTAGTGCAGCCCGAAGGTGCAGCAGTAGAGTAGCAGTACGGGCTCGTTTGTTTACAAACGGACACGCGGACGCTGGCCGAGCTGGCCGGACTGCAGAAGCCTGCGGAGTGACATACACATTGCATATAGAGCATTGCAGCAGCAGCAGCAGCAGCAGCAGCAGCTATAGATGCAGCGTTATTAGAGTGCACGGCTAGAGGCTGCGCTGCGTCGATGACCCGTCGTGGCGCGAGAACAAGAGGAAAAAACACTGTGCTCTTGGTGATTCGTGTCGTGTGCGTTTCCGTTGTTTTTGTTTTTCTCTCGTTCTCTCGTCTGCTCTGCCATCCTGGACAAGCGTAAGTGCGGGAGTCATGCCGATTAGGCTGCCGGAGCAGCATCCACATCATCCTCGTCGGCAAGATCAGCATAAACACGATGAACGAAAAAGACCCACATCATCAACATCGTCATTATCATCATCGAGCAGACATCCCGCAGACGACAGCTCTACCCTAGCCCTTGCACTTGCCCTATTTAGAGGTGAGTTTTATAAACAGCTCCTTGCATGCGTGTAATGAGAGCCGTAATGTATGCACAACATACATAACGTATATATATCGGTGCAGCGAAGCGTGTAAATACCCGACGTTTGATCGAGGCTCGTGTGCGCGATCCGCAGCCCATATAAACACGATTTCTGATGCGTGGCCAATCGTCGTGTGTGGAGTCACGCACGCACGTGAGAGCTGCATTTTGTATACATAATATCGGGCATCGCATCTTTTGCCATCGCGAGTCGACGTTATGTATCGCATATAGTGCATATTTACTGCGCCGAGCTAATGTGCATAGTAGTAGCAGTACACGTTGCAGAGGTTATGTTGGCGCTCCGCAGTACGCGTGTACTTTTACTCGATACTATCATCCAGTCCCTTATATAAGCTGCTCGCACATTGCCCTGCGTACCTATAGCTGTCGTATATAGTAGCATAAAATATGGAAGCTGTGCTCGCCTCGTGTTTTGTAAATATTGCATACGGTCTCTCGCGACGAGTCGCCGCTGCTAGTCGCGCCCGAGCGAATTATAATGGCATAGCTTTCGAGACTTACGCGGACTTACGCGCGCCATAAATCCCCGTAGCATTTAGCGGACCCGTGTGTGCGTGTATCTTTAATACGTGTATGCGTGAGCTGTGAGTGCATCTGTCCCCTATATATAGTGCGGATTTAACGCCCGCCTCGCTCCATAACACGTATAGCTTATATTGCGTTTTACGCGCGTTACGATGCGAGTAAGGTCCATTCGATCAAGTTTGCGCACACCGTCGAACAAAACAAACTTAATATTAAAAAAAAAAAAAACTTTTAAACAGAAACAACGATATTTTTTCAACAATTTACTCGAGACTTTGGCATACAAAGCGTATAGCGATTTTGCCTATCCTTACTGAAAGTAATCCGCTTAGACTTTTTAATTTTGTCACCGAGTCAAGAGAAAATAATACGCGTGCATTTGAATCTTTTACCCAGCAAATTTAATTCTTTCGACATACCAGGATTTAGCTTCGTATTTTCTATGACAATAGTTACATCTCCGAGACGCTATTCTATTTTGTAATCCAAAATAACATTTTGAAGTGCATCACTCGTTTTGGCCTTTTAACAGTCTGAACGAAGTGTTTGAAATGCTCGAGAGCAGGAAAGCTTCAATTTCGCAGTACGAGTAAACGTTTACCGAGGCGAGCTTCAATTTGTACGAATGAAACAGCAGTTGCGTTTTTTTTCCTACGGAAATTTTTTTGATTTTTTTGTTTATTTATTTACTCTCTCTCTCTCCCACCCTTTTTGCCATCGACGTCGCTCGCACAAATGTCGTATATGTCGCAGCTCATCGGAACACGTGACGATAAACACAACAATGCGTACGTTAATTATGAATCTCACGCGCGTATGTGTCGCTCTCGGCTCGTTCGGACTACGTATTTGCGGCCTATTGTCATCGAAGCTTGAGGTTTACGTATATAATCCATGCATATATGTATATATTTTTATATGCTACGTTGTATGGAATCAAAGTGCTCAAGGCGACCGTGACATCGTTTTGTCACTGTCAATATAAATACCTCTCACATGCTACACGTACATTCGTAAACTTGGCCGATGCTTACTTGCCGGAGCTAGTTGAAACTAAGGTTGATAAAATTATTCTTATGTGTCTTCGTTTAACAAGCAGACGAGAAAATATAAAGCGGAGGAAATATTTTTAAATGACATCGCACATCGATAGCCTTATCGGTGCGTCGAGTAACCGTCGCATAATTTCATTTGATTACCGAGTAAGTGAGTGTAAAAATTTCGACAGCTGCATCCTTTCACGCGCTTCGTCGGCGCATAAAAAATTACGATCATCGGAAAATCGGTTATAGAAGCCGGCGAAACACATTGGATTCTAAATACAGTTTTATATTTATGTATATTTTCACATTTTTCTCGTAAATTTGATATATTTCATTGTTTTTATTTTCACGGCGTTTATTACTCTTTTCCCCTTGAATATTCATAACGATAAAAGCGGAATGTACGTAGCCATTCATGATTGATCGAATGATACGCATTCAAAATTTTATACGGAACATCTCGATGCAGGCGAGATTAGTCAAGCCTCGTTCCGTCTATAATTAACTTGGTAAATGGATGTCACCCTCGTGCATTCGTGAGCCTTATACAGATAAAAACATATCCTTTGATAAAAGATCAACTCGGCCGATAAGAAAATTGACAAGGCCGCAGTAACGGCAGCAGCTTTCCAATATTTGATTATTGACGCACGCACGCGACGTGTGATATGTAATTAAAAACAAATAATTTATCCAAGTGCTCGTCAACCATCAGACAATCGTACCGTATATGCACTATAATATTTACATACAATAATATTTACATACAATATTGACGCTTTCGATCATTTTCTCATTCGACGCCCTCGAGAATTTTTCAAAGGTAAACAGATACGGCTCGTGCACAGAATGAGCCTGTTATAGTTCTTAAAATTTAAATTTAGCCTAGTAGGGTCTCTGTCTCGCGAGAAGCAATGATTATTCTATACATTGTTGTTGATGTCGCGCATCGTACACGGAAAACCCCTACTACGCTCGATTAGTTCATGTTTTAGATTGTAACAAAATCATTCTGTGTACGTAGCATATTAGTCAATCTAAACTAAGTGTGTTGGTATCGTGTCGTGCAAGATAATTGGGAGCATTGGTGTGCAAGCATCAACGGTCAGAGTGAATCGCGTGTTATTTTTTAGGAAAAATAAAAAAAAAAATACATAACGCCTTTGTTTCGTAATTGGGATCTATAATGGGTGTGCGGCATCGCATTCTCGAAACACGTAGCAAAAGTTACCTTTTTACTACGTAAAAAACTATGCACTCGAGGCGGCTAATACCGCGGCTCGAAGCTCGTGTGCAGAATCTATGAGCTCCGCGCCTACTACCCTATAATGCAACCCTCGTCGCGAATCCCATTAACCGAGAGAGCCTTTTATACATCGTTTCTCACTCCAGCGAATTGAATTACCGATTCATGCCTCGCGTGCGTGCGAATTCGAAATTCGAACGTACGCAGCTGTGTGCCCGCGTGTCTGTTTGTCTCGTCGCGCTATAGCCATACAACATCCGATCGATCGCTGCTACTCCTGCAAAAAAAAAAAATAAATAAATAAATAATAATGATAAACAAGGAAGAAAAATAAACGCGCGTTCCGTATACGAAGCAGTACCGCGTGCGGATCGAGTCATTCGTTGTTTTCATTGTTGAAGATTCATTAATAAAAACGATCGATGTGGCTCGCGAGGGATACGTGTAACGTGTAGCCGACGTAGCTCGCGCGGCTAAGCGAAAAAAAAAAGATAGCAATGACCGATGCAGGCGAGCCTCTAGCCTATTGCATTTTTAATAGCGCGCAAAAAGAGCGACGTCGTGCACACGCCGACCACTATACACTTGCCCACTCACGTGGATGTGTATAAACGGCACATAGACGTGGTGCGTAGTACCGCTACATACTGGCAGCCAGCGAAAGTCGAGCAATTTTCGTATTGTTTTGCTTTCTCTACTTGTATTTCGGCCAAAATAGTAAATGAAATTTCGGAGGGAGAGAGAGCCCATTATACACATGAAAACGATTATCTGCTCCGATGAACGGGCCCAGTGCACAAAATGCATAATACATAAATCGCGCGTGCCTCTGTTATACATCATACGTATATGCGACCTAGTTGCCAGGAGAGAGAGAGAGAGAGAGAGAGAGAGACAGCGAGAGAGGAGCGAGAGACGTACACCTCGCATCTAGCGTATATACTAAACAGACGGTTCTCGAAAAAGCTCTCGTTGCGTCTCGCAAAAATTATTATTGTTCTTCGCGCGCTGCCGCGGTCTCTTATTTATACCCTCGTATCGCTTTACAACGCGTTTCTCCGTCTTCGCGCGCCGCCGCTCTGTATATCAATTGTGCGTACGCGAGCGATACGTAATAACGAAAAGAAAACGGAAAAAAGAAAATGACGTTATTACTTGCCAGACGCGCATTACGCAATAGCGCACTCACTCGCTCTTTTATTTCTTCATCGCGCATACATATAATAAACGTTCAAAGCACTAATAAGCTTTGTAACTCTTCTCGCGTGCCGATTAACGCCGCAACGACATCGCTAAGTACCCGATACCGTAACTAATATTTTTTCGTAATTCGTCAGCGCTGTCGGCTTGAGTAATTATTATATCGTGCCTCGGACGAAATGATGAACTTATAGACGAAAGCGAGAAACTCTAGACAGCTCGGGCGGTGACTCGCACTCGAGCGATTTATGTGTGCGGCCGCGTATATATCAAAGGTATTACGCGCGCGCGCATTAAAGGTGTAACGATTCACTTTTTTTCCCTCGCTTCTTCTTGTATATATACACGAGGTAAACTCATACGACTGCCCCCGCTGCTTCAACGCCATTGTCAAGTGTTCACCGTTATATAGCTGCTGCCTCGGCTTCTTTCCCATTCTGTTAGTTCGCGTCAGTTTTTTCTCTGCTCGGTTTTGAATTCGAAAGCTATAAGCGTGTACATGATGTGCTTTTTTCCCCATTCTTACTCGCGACCATCTTCGTCGTCGTCGTCATCGTCGTCGTGCTTAGAACTCCAAAGAAATGGGAGGAAAAAAATGAAATGAGAAAAGAAAGTAGAGCGGAAACATCATAAACCACCACGCCCAGTGTACGCGATGATGACTATTTCAACTCTAATTCTTGTTTTAGTTTATTCGTCTTTCGAGTTCACCGCGAGCTTGCGGGCTTTTAAATAGTCGAGCTTTATGCGGGCTTTATCGATTTTCAATATACGCGCGCAAAAGCTCAATGAAAAATCATCCGGTTAAATCGTGCCATGCTTTTTTACGCGCCTGCGCACGCCTATCTCTGTAGTCGCATGCATCAAGTCCGAAGTAAATACAACCTACTTCTTGCGCGAGGCGGCTGCGTTTGAGC